CTATTATATGCACTTGCCATGATCTATTTTTTCATGATTCCTTGGTTATCACTCAGTAATAAACTGAGCAGTAGTGCAGACAGAGGCAATCCCTTAATATATATTCTTTCAATCTATTTTACAGTAATGCCACAAACAAGATGAGGGCCTCATTGTGTTAGACTTTGTACAAAATAAAGCCTAAGTGTTCTACAAAATAAAACAGTCCTTACCCTTCCTTGTCATGTCCTTGTGACAAGGTATTTAGCAGAATTTGCAGATTTGTTGGAATCTGACAGGGCCATGCCATTAGCACCTCAGCTACAGCCTCAAACTCGCAACCTCTGGGCTGTCTACTGTGCACCTTAGCACCTGTGCCACCCCAGCTCCCAGCCTGAAAAGCTGGGGCTAGGAGCAGCAGGCAAGGTGATTGGTTGTTGGGGGTTACGTGCTTCCCATGCGGGCTCCAGCAACAAAGGGAGCAAGCGAGTGTGCATGTAAAGCGGAAGCTGCTTGGGCAGGGGTCTGTGAATCGAGAGTGAGGGACACCGGCAGGGCTGGGGGGGCAGAGGGCTGTAGGCTGGGAGCGAGGGGCACCAGCAGGGCTGGGAGGAGGGCTGGGGCTGTGCATAGGGAATGAGGAGCGCCCCCAGGGCTGGGGGGGGCAGGGAGCTGTGGATCAGGAGTGAGGGGCATGGGGATGGGAGGGGTGACTGTGGGTTGGGTGTGCAGGGCACTGGCAGCGCCAGAGGGCTGGGGGTCAGGAGTAAGGGGCACTGGCAAGGGGTGGGGGGCAGGGTACTGCTGTCTGGGAGTGATGGACACTGGCAGAGCTGGGGTCAGTGGGTCCAGAGCGAGGGGCAACAGCAGGGCTGGGGGAGGGTGTGGCTTGTCAGTGAAGGGCAACAGAATGGGCAGGGGCAGGGCACTGGCATGTATGTCACTGTTGTGTGCGCCCCCCCCGCATCATATTCCCCCTGCCTGCCCACCCCCCTGGTGATAGGTGTTCTCTTTTTTGGACCTGGAAATATGGTAACCCCAGCCCAATGAACTATACGGCTGTGAACTAATATCATGCATAGCTTGTAGTCTCTCTAAGTAGGTGCAATACCATCATCACAATGGTTGCAGGGGAAATACCTTGACTGAAGTAATGTGATTAAAATGGTACTGTGTAGTGGAGGATTGCACCCTTGTCTGCTTGTGGACAGGACTCCCTACCAGAGCCTCATGGTTAGCTTCCCACTGGCCACCTTCCAGTGGGAGGATTTTAAGTACACGCTGACTTTATGGAAATGGGCGACTCCTCCCTAGTTTCCTCCTGCAGCTATACGGCTAAGGGCAAGCAAAACTCGGGGGCATCTGAATCCCAAGCCTCCAGGCTTGGGCTTGCACATAGGATGCCTGCCAAAGGAAGCCCCAGGCTGGGGTGGAGGATACTTGCCAGTAGCAGGACCACATATGATTCTTGAATGATTCAAATATATTTGGACCTGATCTGGCCAATTTGACCTGGGACATGAAAAAATTTCCTTAAAAAGGTAGGAAAGAAAGTGCTGCTTAAAAGTGTGCTTCTGAAGTACCTGTACTAAAACTTGCAGCAGTTTCAGAAAAGGTAAAACGTATCAATCCTGGGTGAACTAGATCTATAGGTACTATAACTAAATGGCTACAGCTATGTTTGTTTTCAGGTCAGTTTTTTCAAATTTGTTTCTCAGTTCCACATGCTCAGGGAGGGCAGGGTCTGATAACAAAGAGGGGGAAAGGGGCTGTAAGGAGACGTTGTGGGGGGCAGAGGGCAAAGGGGCTATTTGACCTCCCCAGATTTATTTTCTCTCCTATAGCAGTGGGAGATTGACAAATTCAAGACAAACCTCCAATAAATAGATTCCATATTTAGAAAATTATATCAAATTTATAATTTTTCCATATATAAAATCTAATTACTGGGGGGGGGGGGTCATCCTATATTCAAGTAAATATGGTAACTAAGTTTTCTAAAGTGATGATTAAAGCTCACAATCTCATTTCCTTGCTCTGGATGCCAAATTCCTTAATGACTACAATGCAATCAAGCAAAGAAATTAAAAGAATGCTTGGAGGATCAAGTTTGGAAAGGAGGAAAAAGCTTGTACAGCCCACTACACCTGGACAACATAATAGCTCAAGCAAGCCAGCATGGGTAATGTATTAATTAGCTACCTGTCATTTAGATCCTAACTCAGAACTTAATGAAGCCACTTTGCAAAAGGCAATCTCTTCAGCAGAAGAATATAAATAATGTATATAAAATGGGGGCAGGGTGGGAAGAGAATCAGCACACCCCTGCAAGGTCAAGCCAGACTGCATCTCTAGATCGATGGCTGGCTCTGGCAGGTTCTACTGTTGAGAAGCCTGCAGCCATCTATGAGTCATAGAATTAATTAGCGGCAGTGGGTGTTGCCATAGGCACGTGGCAGACAGACTGGAAATATTAAATGACTGTTAGGAAATATAGTGGAGATGGAGGAGAAAGATGACATTTCTTTCACTAAGGCTTGATATAAAGTAATTATCAACAGTCTTTTTATTCTGCAAACAGCCAGTAGCTCTTTAGGCTAAAACAGTACAAAAATCAATGAGGAGGTTTAACATCGCTCTGTCTCATGTTTCAGAGAGCAGCAGAATGAGAAGTGGACATTTCTGGTAGAACATATGTATTTTTCCATTTTAAGCACCATATATCATCATAACCTACACTACTTAAGATTGGTGCAACCAGTAAATTTTGTGACCAGCAGAGGGAGCATCTTTTATACCTTAGAAACCATTGAAGGTTTTGGATGGAGAGTGTAAAGGGAGGGACAGTCCAATTTTAAGTCCCTTTAAAGTCTGAGCCCATATTTAACATTCACAAAATAAACAACTAAGAGTGGTAGTTTGTGCTGAGAATAATGTGCCCTGGTGCCTTGGAAGGTTTTTCTACAGCTGCGTCAATACACCTTAATTCTGACACACTTGGGATTCTGGGAGCTGATCACAGTTTCAAATCACAACGGGAACAGTGCAATGCTATTACACTGATGTGTGACAATGCAAGGTCATAACTTTAACTTAAGGGACAATGGCAGCTTTAACTGACTGTCCTTTTCTCTGTCCTCAAGCTTGAAAGTGAGCAGTTCTCTTCCATCTTAAAAATCACTAAACCCCATTAAATTATGCAGTGCTATTATACAAAGCATTTTCCCTTCTCTCATGTTCTACCTAAAACCAAACTTCCTAAGGCCCTGAATCTCCCATCTGGCCTGCAACTAGGGCTGTGCAAAGCTTCGGGTGCTGATTCAATTAGGAGGAGATTCGGCCCAATTCAGTGGCCGAATCTCCAAATCCAAATCAAATCAGGGGACCAATAAAAAGGGCTGAATTGATTGAAAGCTCTCAGAATGTTCAGAAAAGATTCAGAGAGCTTCAATGATTTGGGCAGTCCCCGTTGGCTGCAGCAGGGAGCTGGAGCTGGACATGGAGCAGGTAAGTAGTGGGCTGGACAAAGGAGGAGGGACCCATGCACGGACCCCTGCCAGGCCCCCCGTGCTTAAAAAAAAAAAAGGCCCCTATTCACTGTGTGCTGCCAGGCAGGGGGACAATCCCCGCTGCCCCCACTGCCTCACACTGCACAGGGGGCTCTGCACAAGCCCCCTCCTCCCCCCTGTCCCAGTCCACCAGATCCTGCAGTGGCCTTGGGGCTTCAGGGGTGTGTGGAAGAACTCCCCACGTGGTGTGGGGCAGCAGGGATCATCCCCCACTAGCAAAGAACTGGTGAGCCCGGAGTTTTTTAGTTGTTTTTTTTTTCCTTAAAGAGCTGGAGCTAGGATGGGCACTGCAGCGATGGGGGGGACTGGGACAGTGAGAGGAGGATGTCGGGGGGCTCGTGCAGAGCCCCCTACGCAGCATGTGGCAGTGGGGGGCAGCGGGGATTGCTCCCCCACCTGGCAGCACCCAGTGAGTCGGGGCTTCTTTTTTCAAAGTGCTGGGAGCTGGGGCAGCCATTGGTGGGCTGGGAGAGTGGGCAAGGGATGGGCCTGTGTGATTCGGAGATTTGGCAGCAGCCGAATCTCCGAATCAGATTTGACCGAATCAATTTGGGACAGTGATTCAAATCACCAAATCGAATCACCATCCCCCAAATCAGCTGAATTTGAATCCGAATCTGAAGCAAATACTAGCCACTTTGCACGGGCTTACCTGCAACCTCTCTCAATCTCCTTTCTCCTCAGTCTACAGCCAGAATTTCCTCCATGTTTTTCCTACTAACCTACCAGCCTCATTTCCAGTCTCCTGATGATCTGTTCTCCTCAACTCTCAAAACTTTATTCCTTACCACAGTAAAATGGAAACTTGATACAAATTTCTAATTGTAAAATCTTAATTATTTTCTTCTATAGCCCCACTACTTAGAATTAGCAAAATGAAATCCTCTAGATGGAACTTCAGCATCACCCTCCAGGTCAAACGGGCTGCAGCATCCTCTAACTGCTGCAGGACTCATAGGCTAATTCACCTGCATTGTCAGTTATCTTATTCCAATTTCTCCGATTGCTCTCAAACCTGACCTCAGGGCCTGCCTGCTATTCTTTTTTTTTTTTTGAGCAGTAACTAATGGTCATGACATAGAAAGTCTGATGTAACAGTTGGTTTTATTGACAAGAACATAAATGAGACTAAAACTAGAGCAACAAAATGTTTCTTTCTGGCCTAAGCAAAGATAAGGGACCAGGTAGCCAAGGGTAAACACTAATACAGTCAACCACAACTCAAATACCTGTTAAGCACCATCTCCACATGCCTCCTTGTTTTTTCTAAAATCTCACCAAACTTAACAGTGTTTGTACTAATACTAGAATACTTCCAATGACTAATTTTCTAGATTTTTGTCAGAAGATTTCCATAAGCGTAAGACAAATGTATCTTTAAGGAAGTGTTTCAAATTATTGGGTATATTATACCACTAACCAAGTTAGTCACCTTCACAATTCAATACTGACCTTCATTATATTTCGGCCATCAAATGACTCCCTTTCCTTGAAAGGTGATTTTCCTATATTTATATAGTTACGCTCTTCACCTACAGAGGGGAAAAAAATTCCAGAGTGAACGAGATAGGATGACAGTTTTCATTGTTTACCCCACAAATCTCTGTAGCCATTTAATAAACAATTATCAATTTTACATGCATTTTTAAAAAAAGAGTTTATAATTTCACATAAAAAGGACGCTATAAAACATTCAGGATCTTATGGTATTATTGCAAGCACCAAAATCACTTCACCAAAACACCCCAGACTACAAATACTGTTGTTAATGATTCTGCAGAGCTGGCAATGCAGCCTAACAGAATCTGCCTCTCAATGGCTGAATCCAAGCTCCATGTCTGGTGAGATTCAGCAATGACAAGCTCTTACAGCTCCTGGAACACATGTCTGGTGAGATTCAGCAATGACAAGCTCGGACAGCTCCTGGAACCCCCCCCAACAAGCCATACTGAGCATTTGATTATAATGGAAAGCACATTCCTGACAGCACCTAGAAACATTTGGACTGGTCACTTTGAGAAATGTCCTTGCATTGGTGTGGTGAGAGAGAGAGAGAGAGAGAGAGAGAGAGAGAGAGAGAGAGAGAGAGAGAGAGAGAGTGTGTGTGTGTAAAAGAACATGTGTGTGTAAAAGAACATGCGTGTATGTAAACACAAACACAAATATATCAAAACATTAAGGTTGCTGTTTTGCACGCAAGTTAGAAAATACCAGAATCTTAACTCATCCCCCTTGTGTGTAAACATTATGATACATCAAATACGTGATCACAAACTATTTCACAGATTCATAGATTTATAGATGTTAGGGTCTCAATAGATCATCAAGTCCGACCCCCTGCGTAGGCAGGAAAAAGTGTGCTGGGTTCAGATGGCCCCTGCCTGACTGTGTAATCATCCAAGTCACAGCCTCTTAATTTGTTCACCAGCATGGGGGTGGAATACTGTATTGAAGGCCTTCCTTAAGTCTAAGTAAACGATATATACCCCTACTCCTGCGTCCAGGTGTTTTGTAACCTGGTCATAAAAAGAGACTAGATTAGTCAGGCATGATCTACCTACTACGAACCCGTGCTGGTTTCCCCTCAGCATAATTTGTCCTGCTGGGCTCTCACATATATGAGCCTTAATAATCTTTTCAAAGACTTTACCAAGGATGGAGGTGTGACTGACTGGCCTGTAGTTGCTTGGATCCTCCTTCCTCCCCTTCTTGAAAATAGGGACCACATTGGCCCTTTTCCAGTCCTCCGGGACCTGGCCCATGCACCACGAGTGCTCAAATATTCTTGCCAGTGGCTGTGCACTGACATCAGCCAGTGCTTTCAGTACCCTTGGATGGAGCTCATCCGGGCCTGCCGACTTAAACGCATCCAGTCCTAGCCTTGTCCCCCCTGTCTGTTACCAATTGCTTTTGCCCATTCAGTAGTGGTCCTATACTGCCCTGGGCCTTCCTTTTACTCCCTATATATCTGAAAAACATTTTTTTGTTATTCTTAACTTGGGATGCCATCCTCAGCTCCATGGTAGCTTTGGCCTGTCTAACTGCCTCCCTACAACTGCGAGCTGAGGAGGCATACTCCTCTTTAGTAATTTCTCCCTGTTTCCACTGCTTATATGCCCCTCCTTTTTGCCCTTAGGCTGCTCTGGATTTCTCTGGTTAGCCAAGGAAGCCTCTTGGCCCCTTTCCCCACCCCCGCATTGGGATCGTCTCCCTCTGTGCCTGAAAGATCGCTTTCTTAAAGCACAGCTACTCTTCCTAGGCTCCCATCTCGCCAAATCTCTTACCCTGCAGTGCGTCATTGACTAAATGCCTGAGCTCGCTGAAGTCAGCCTTCCTAAAGTCTAGCACTTCCACCCTACTAGTTACCTTTCCTGCTTTACGCCTTATGGTGAATTCTATTATTCGGTGGTCACTGTCCCCCAGGTGACCACTGATCTGCAGGTCCCCTACCATGTCATCCCCCGTTGCCAGTACCAGGTCCAGTAAGGCATTCCCCCTGGTGGGACCATAGACCTCCTGCATCAGGTGGAGGTCCTGCACAGAGGATAGGAACCTGCGTGAACGGTGGGAATTTACTGTCCATTTCTCCCAGCAGATGTCAGGGTAGTTTAGGGCCCCCATGACTACCGCTTCCCTAGTCTTTATGGTCTCCGAGAGCTGCCTCAGGAGTTCCAAATCTAGTTCTTCCCCTTCCCCTTATTTGTTCCACAAGACCCCCTACCTCATTCAGTGAATGGCTAGTCATTGTAAATTTTGTTTTAATTTCAGCATTGAACATGCAGGCTTCATTTAACATAAAGCCTCCACACCTTGCATTGCACACACAATTATTTCTTTCTAGCCATTTCTTGGATGTTCTTCCCACTGTTTCCGAATGCTTCATAAACATCAATACATGTATTTTTCAATCCGGACACTGAGGATAGCTGGTATTATCTTGATTTCACAGTTGAGGAACTTGGGTGCAAGGAGAAAAATTTTCATACATTTCCATTCATTTTCAACCTGAGACCCCTAGATTGTTCAGGGGCAACCTGTGATTGTTCAGGCAACTCTGCATTTTTACATGACACAGCGGGTGGATCTACACGAGATGCTTTACTACACATTAGACTAATCTAATGTGTAGTAAAATGTCACTGTCTACACGTGTGCAGCAATTATTGAGCAGTATATTAGTGTAATGCACCATTTTCTAGTACCTGTAGATACAGGTACCAGACATTGGCACATTTAACTAATGCGCCAAAGCGCACGTGTAGACACTGACCGGGAACAAATTGCTCCCAGTCAGCCTAGGCAGCAGGGAGCCACCAGGGGTGGGAATAGCTGTCCTGGCTCAGCAGGACACTGCCTGCCAGCCATTTGGAGATCAGAACAAGTCCCAATCTTCACATGGCTGGGAGAGCTGTCCTAGTAACTGGGGCAGCTCTCCCCTGCCTTGCAGAGATCAGACCAGCCTCCGTGCCCCCTGCCAGTCCAGGGCTGGCACCTGGGGGAGCTCCCCCTGGCTGTTGCAAAGGGGCAGGGTAGGGCAGGAGCAGTCCTAGACTGAACTGCTCCTAACAGGTGCGCACTGAGATGCATGCAGGGGCACAGTTTAATGTACCTGAATTTCCTGTGCAGAAAATTCAGGCACATTAATTGCACCTGTAGATGGACCCAATATGTCAAAAGCACACATCTGCACTTGCAACTGCTTTACATTTCTGCAATTTGTCCCTGAAAGTCTCACTGGAAGTACTGAGGGTAGAGAGGAAGAAAATGCGTAAAACACTATTTGTTCTCAAGGACTCTACATACGTTTTGTGATACAGAATAATTTAGATCCTGCGCCCACACTTCAGCAAACCTACTGGTAATATGCAGAGTTCATTATGCCAAAGATAGATAGTAAATTCTGCAGTGAGGCAACTGAACTTTACAATTCATATGCCAGTACTAGAATCTATACATGTTAATACACAGAGGTAAAGTCGTATTATACAGCATCTTTCACTTGCACTGCATCTGAGAATACTTTATAAAGAAACAAGTTAGATCAATGGTGCTCAGCCCTTTTGGCTAGCAGGCTGGATGGGCAGTGCCCAGACTATCCATGAGCCAAATCTGGTTGATGGTCCTGATCTGGCACACGGCAGTTGTGACAGAGTCTCACATGGCCATGGAGGGGAGAGCTGGGGACATCCCAGCTCAAACCTGACCCCAGAGGGGAGGAGGGGGCATGGCCTAGCCTGCAGCATAAAGTGGCATGGCCCAGCTCCAACTCATCCTCACATGGGGAAGAGGGCTTGACCTGGCCCTGCAGGGGGGCACATGGAAGAGGAAGAGGGCTTGAGCCAACCTAGACCCACAGGGAAAGGCAGCATGGTTTGGCCTCATCCAGCTGTGGGGGTGAGGGAAAGGGGATGTGACCTGGCCTCAAACTGCTGCACAGGATTCAGGGTTAGGGAATTGGCAGTGGGGGAGGGTGGCCATATTTATTGCCACTGCTCCCCTGCTGCCATATTTCCCGATCCATAGGGAGCCCTGCAAGTCAGATACCTATGGCTCCACGGACTGCAGTTGGCCTGCAGGCCAGAGGTTGAGCACGCCTGAATTAGATGAAAAATGTTGCTGTTCATGCAAAAACATTTTAGCAGAGCAATGAATATGCACTAAATAGGCACTCATATTCAGTACTGGATATCAGAGAATACTGGTAAAGATACTGATGCACTATTTTAAAAAATTAATCCATAGTTTAATTAAACAGAACCATCTTTTAACTTCATACGTGCACATGAAGATCTCTCATGGCCAATACACCTGTTATTACTATACGTAAATGAAAACTTGGATTCCAAAACCTGAAGTGAGGCTCAAATTTGTTATCATCTGGCCAAGATCCAATAAATGCTAACCAAATCACAGTAATAATTTAGACACAAATAATCTCAGGGAGAAAAGCATTTCCTATTCAGAAGTACAGCTGTAGTTCACAAAGTTTCAAGGAAGGTTCTGCAGATACCTACCATTTGGGTCTTTCCTAAAGAGAGTGTTCATGACAGTAGCATGGAGTTTTACTCTATCCCACTCTTTGATCATCAGCCCAGAGCTCACAAAGTGTTCCATCAGTCTATCAGCTATAACCTGCAGTCTGGGGAGGGAGAGGGGGTGGAAGAAATAGAAAGAAAAAAAATGAGGAACAAGGCAATACAAATCAAGGAGGTAACCCACTTGCTTTGCCAACTTTTGCCAGGGGGTTTGCAGATACGGTAGTCTGCATATGTGCAAAGTCTCAATACTATTCCAACACAAAGTCAGCAGACTATGAAAATTCTGTCACTCACGCCTGTTGTAATGTAAAATGCTCTGGTCATTTGCAAAGGTTCCTAGAAAACATGTTGCAAATATGTATTTAAATATAAAATAACAGGAAGTTTATGCAATTTGAAGAGGTAGATTTTATTGGAGTTTGAAGAATGTATTTTTCTCTTGCTGTATAAATGTACTAGTCAGCTTACAGGAATACTTCCAAAAAAGAGACATGAAAACCTGGATTCTAGGATATATTTTTTTATCTAACCACTGTTAAAGAACTGTGTGGGCACTTTACATTAGATTCAAGACTAGAACCCAAGCCTCCCCTCTTCCAAGTAGGTGTCATTATCACTAGACTAGAGAGCTGTACTCCCTCCATCTGGCCTAAAGAGTCTTTTTTTTCCTTTTTTTTTTGCTTAGTGGCACAGTTCAATAGGAGAGATGGTCAATGCCACCCCAGAATAGCCCTGGTGACTAATGCACTCTTTGAGGAAAATCAGGGACAGATTTTTTAATCCTCTCAGGCTGAGAAAGGGATAAAACTGGGTTTCACACTTTCTGGGTGAGTGCTCTGGACCCTGAGTGAGCTATTGCATAGAGGGAATGGGCACCATCACTGCTGATGACTCCTCCAGTGGCTGTGTTTTGAATACAAGTTGCTGTGGTCATTGTTCTGTAGAGATCTGAATCCTGTCTCTGCACACTGGGCATGCTCAGAGCACATCTACTGGATTAAGCCCTTTAGGAGGCTTATGTCTGAGATAAGCTCCGAGTTTCTCAGACCTGTCAAGATGGAGACAACTCTAGGTTGTAACTTTAACCACCTAGGATAAAAACTTAGGTGCTGAAGGGTGTGGGTTTTAAGGGTCAAACTCTTGGAGTAAGCCAGCTAAATTCAGTCCAAGTCCCACATTAGGTGCTTATCTCCTTTTTGTGGCTCTCGGCCTAAGTTTGCATGTTAGAGGATAACAAACTTCTAAACCTATGCCTCATTACATCAAAAGCAGCATATGTTCAATTGAACACTAGTTCCTATCCATTAAAGCAAGAGATAAGCCTGCTAAATACAACAGAGTTTAAGCCATCTTGCCACCATGTTTATACAGTTCATAAGTAGGGTGACCATATGGCCCAGTTTGGCCAGGACAGTCCTGGATTCCGTAGGTTGTCCTGGCTGGTTGGTCAAAAGTCCTGAGCCACAGTCCGGTGAGGGGGCGGATACACCAAGCAGGCAGGCAGGCAGGCACCACTGCCATTGTGCAGAAGCAAGGTAGATGGACATACGGTCACCGTATCTGAGACGCCATATCCAAGGTTCCTACATTCCTTGCTGAAGAGGTGCCTGCCCACCTGATCCACC